GTACCGTTGTCTACTTAATAAAACCAGCACTCCTTTTTTGTTTTTTGTTTTTTTTTTGAATTTTAAGTAGGCTCCACACCCAACATGGAGCTTGAACTCATGACCCTGAGATCAAGAGTCACATGCTCCACCAACTGAGCCAGCCAGGTGACCCTAAAACCAGCAGTCCTTGGAAAATGGCTGATTCCTGGTCTGGGATAGGGATAGAAAAGATGAGCCTGGAACATCTTGTTGTACCAGAAAGTAAAGGAGTATTCAAAAATATATTCAGGATATGTCGGAGGATCACAGGGGTCATCTTTAAGGGGCTCTCACTGCTTAACTTTGTGACAATTTTAGCATCAAAATAATGACAGTAATGAATTTTAACCAATTATTAATATAAGAGTTCAGGAGTCCAGGGGCACCTGGGTGGCTCAGTCAGTTAAGCATCCACCTCTTGACTTCAGCTCAGGTCATGATCTCAGGATCATGGAGCTCAAGCCCTGCCCTGTGTCAGGCTCTGTGCTCCTCAGTGAGTCTGACCTGAGATTCTCTCTCCCTCCACACCCTCCCCCCCTCTAAAGTAAATAAATAAATCTTAAGGAAAAAAAAAAGAGTTCAGGAGTCCATAATGATAATAAGTAAGTGAGTAAAGAAATGAAGAAAGAGAAAGAAAGGAAGAAGGAAAAAGTCTTTCTGACAGTGGAATGCCAACCATTTGGCTATTATTATAGTAGTAACTTATTTGGGTGAGGATAAATAAATAGATGCTGCAATTAATTGGGTGAAAACTTGATGACCCACAGGAAATTTACATACAATCAAAGTCACTTCCTTAAAATTATTAATTACAGAGGGGAAAATAAGAAATTTATAATAGAGAAAACTAGCGGTGGGTACATGGGGGAACACTTTAATCAAGTAATCAGTGTAAATGTGGCAAAGTGTTAACAATTGGGAAATGTGGGTGAAAGATAAGGAATTTTTAATACTATTCTTGCAACTTTTCTTTAAGTTTAAAATTATTTCAAAAGAAAAGTTTTGTGTGTGTGTGTTTTTTTTCTTCTGGCTCCTTCCCTGATACTTAAAAAACTTTTTTCCCTTCCCACACCCGCTCACAATCTGGATTCCTTACTGGGCAGGAGTGCACATAATCTCAAACTTCTTGGTGAAATGGCATCAGGGAGGTGGAGGTTAGTAGCATTTACAATGGAAATGAATGACTGGGGCTCCAGCTGGGAGCAGCGAAGAGGAAATGCTCTGTTTTTTTCTGTTGCAGTGTCTGCCCCACCTTCCCTGTCCTGGAGGGGGAGGGAAGGCTTTTAGTCACAAGAATCTTGTCATCATTATTTCATCTTAATCTGGTCATTGGTAACTGAGAGGAAAAGGGGAAATCACAAAGGTAGCGAGATGGTCCTGTATGCACACTGTGTATCAACACCTCCCTTCTTAAAAGACCAGAACATGCAAATGTGTGTAGGATCTCTCATATAGGTGGATCTATCAAGCGAACCCGAGACCATTTTCTTTAAAAAAACAAACAAACAAAAAACTTTTCATTTTATCTATTTATTTTAGTAATTTCTACACCCAACATGGGGGTCCAACCATGACCCTGAGATCAAGGGTTGCATAAGGGTTGCATGCTCTTCCAGCTGAGCCAGCCAGGGACCCTGACCATTTTCTTATGAATGTGTATGTGTGTGTATTTTTTTTTTTTTTTGTAATCTCTATGCCCAAAGTGGGGCTTGAACCCATGAATCCAAGATCAAGAGCCACACACTCTTCTGACTGAGCCAGCCAGGCTCCACGCATTTTCTTATTTCAACGCTTTGCTTTGGACTACTGTACGGTTAAATTTCTTTAATATCCAGAATAATACTATTATGATACAGAGAAGCAGCCTAGTCCCACATCCTTTGTTGTAATTCCAGTATTTACAGTAGACAACTGGATATTCCAATCCAGAGATTAGGTACAGATTTCACAATTACAAAGAGGCAAACATCAGCATTGCTCTTAAAGGACATTCCCCTAAAGGAACACAGCAGAGAGGAATATTTAACAAAAATTGTACTGAAAACAGGTTCCCCGACAAGCCATCAAATTCACAAAGGGAAACAAACTACAATGTTAGCAACATAGCAGCATCCAGTAGGTAACGAGTCAAAGCTGTGCATAGGTTACCATACACAGAGCTTGGGAGACTGGGGGCATAGAAGGCCTAAGATCTGAAGTCAGCCCATGCCCCACCAACCCACCCACCCACCCGCCAGGTCCCTGTAGTTTACAATTGGATCTGTTCATGCTGAGGACCCCACCACAGGCCCTATTCTAAAGAAATCTAGTTTCTCCTAGATTTTTTTTTTTTTTTTTGGTTTATGTCAAGGGACATAGGTAGCATGTAAAATTGGCTGCCTCCCCAAACCAGTGATAAAAAAAGGAAGCATAGGCCTCTCAATTAATTTCACTAAAGATAAACAGAAAAGGCTAAGTCCTAGAAATTGTGGAATATGAAAAATGTGCGCCAGTGCCCGCCCCCCCCCCCCCCAGTTCCACATTCTTTTGTTTGAATTAACTTGTATCTCTCTCTACTGTGAACAGTGAATGCCCAATGTAGGTTCAGAGTGCTCTTGGAGGGATTTTCATTTTTGTCAGGAATCAAAGTCTTAACCTAAAAGAAGCAACTGTTTATCTAGAGCTGGTAGAGCAGGTTTGCTTACGAAGTCACGCCCTGTTGGCATCACCCAGGCCTGAGAGCATCTCTCCTGGAGAACTGAGCCAATTAATATTCTCTACGAAATTCTTGGCACGTGTCAGCCTGCCCTTCGCAAAGGCTCAGCAGCTACACTGCTTCGAGAATGTTTCAGCTCCACATCATCAAGTCCCCACAAGGCTTGGGGAGAGGCCTGGGCACACCTGCTTTGTCCTACCCCTTAGCCTTCTTGGGACTTGGTGTGACAGCCCTCTTCAATGGTTGGTGGAAACTTTCCTAGACTCAAGGACATATGTCATTCCCAGGACCACTAAAGTGACTCTGTTACATCCCCGCAGCAAATGAGGCTGCAAACAACTGGCCTACGTGAAGTGAACTGAAGTCTGGAGATGTTAAAACACAACTGCAGATGTAATCAGCCGAGGTTCTGTCTGACAGGAGGGCCTCATCTTTAAAACCCTCACTGTGCACTGCACTGCTGCCTTCTTTGTGTGTCTTTTATTCATTGTGTGTGCTGTTTTATAGTTTATTTCTTGCACATTGGTGTATTCTCAGAATTTTCAAAAAAAACCCCCTTGGATTCAGTTTGTTTATATACAGAGAAATTGCAGTTAAATTTAGTTTTTGATCATTTTGATACTCTAATGTATGATATTTTGATAACCTTTATTTATTTATTTTTAAAGATTTTATTTATGTGAGAGAGAGAGAATGAGAGAGAGAGAGCATGAGAGCGGGGAGGCTCAGAGGGAGAAGCAGACTCTCTGCTGAGCAGGGAGCCTGATGTGGGACTTGATCCTGGGACTCCAGGATCATGACCTGAGCTGAAGGCAGTCGCTTAACCAACTGAGCCACCCAGGTGCCCTTGATAACCTTTATTTTTATGTATTACTATGATCTACGTTTTGTTTTCCAAGATGAGGCTTTCATTTTTAATGACTATAGCCAGCTTCACTGGACCTCAACTGTACTTTTCTGAGCTTCTCATTTTTGCTAGTGAATTTGGGAATGATAAGTCATTTCTGAGCCATGATTTGAAGGACCTATTAAAAAAAAAGAAGGAAAGAAAGAAGAAAGGAAAGAAAGAAAGAAAGAAAGGAAAGAGAAAGAAGAAAGAAAGAAAGAAAGAAAGAAAGAAAGAAAGAAAGAAAGAAAGAAAGAAAGAAAGAAAGAAAGAAAGAAACGCAAGCCTTTCCCCTGCTGTCCCTCCAAGCAGCACTTCTGGCTGAAGGCAGCACGGTGACCTGCTTGTGCCTGGTTGTGACCTTTGTCTGGATGAGGGAAATCGGAGGCAGGCAAAGAGTTCTGGAAGAATTTCGGAAGCGTGGGGTGAACCTAAATTTGTTTTCCACATTTTGTCTCAGGTTGGCCTTGTGACGAAATTAGAAAGTAATGCCTCTGGGGACGCCTGGGTGGCTCAGTCGGTTAAGCGTCTGCCTTCGGCTCGGGTCATGATCCCGGGGTCCTGGGATCGAGTCCCGCATCGGGCTCCCTGCTCAGCGGGGAGCCTGCTTCTCCCTCTGCCTCTGCCTCTCTCTCTCTCTGTCTCTCATGAATAAATAAATAAAATCTTAAAAAAAAAAAAAAAAGTAATGCCTCTGAAAACAAAGGAATCGTGATTACATAGCCCAGAGAAGATCTTTATGTAGTGAAGTAGTCTTCCTTAGAACAGAGCATAAATAATTAAGCTCACGTGGGCACAAAATAGAATATACAATATTTGTTTAGATAAAAGGAAAAAATACCCACTGGTTAAAAACTAACATAACAGGGCGCCTGGGTGGCTCAGCTGGTTAAGCGTCTGCCTTCGGCTCAGGTCATGATCCCAGAGTCCTGGGATCGAGTCCCGCATCGGGCTCTCTGCTCCTTGGGAGCCTGCTTCTCCCTCTGCCTCTCTCTCTCTGTCTCTCATGAATAAATAAATAAAATCTTTAAAAAAAAAAAAAACTAACATAACTGTGGAGACTTGACCATCTTTATTAACAGAGTAGAGCCCCTCTATAGGACGTGGGGGGATCAGGTTTCGGTGTCCTTCCAAACCCAGGATTCTGAGAGGAAGGATGGTAACCTGGGGACCAGCATGGTTTCAGTGGGTACCAGGAACTGGCATCGGTTATGAAAGGAAAGAGCAGAGCTTCACTCAGATGTAAGGACAGAAAATGTACCACAGTACAGAACACATAATAGCTGTATAATACTGATCAGTTTATAAACAAATAGAGTCTTAGAAGCCGGTTGAACGTCACTCTTGTTAACAGGCGACATGGTCTCCCAGTTCTCACTGGTAGGAGAACAACTTCACAGACACATACATATTGCACAAAACCTCAATACTGGTTTCCACAGGGAAGGTTTCCAACCAGTCCCTGCTGCTCCCCAAAGGTTAGGGAACAAAAGTTCCCTACGTCACTGTTCATCGTGACCCAGCGTTCCTCCTCCTGGGAAGGGACACACGTCTGTCTCTTCAACGGCAAACTCCAGTGGCGTCAGGTGACCTTGGTCACAGGCAAGAATCATTCAATATGGTAGCACTTGTGGCAGCTGTGACTCCTTCCTTTTGGTGACAGATCTTAAGCCTTTTCAAAGTCCGCAGGTGCCCCAAATGGCAGATGTCTTTTTTTTTTTTTTTAAATAAATACACCAGAATCAGCTGACCCATCCTCAAAAGAAATTGGCCACAGTTACTCTTTTGAGGGGATTTGTTAACTCTTCAGGGGAGCTTGCTGTTCCCCTGCCAGTACAACTTCTCCTCTACTTTTTTCTTTTTCCATCGACAGAGGAGCAGCATCTTAAAGGTCTTCCTGAAGGTTCTGTTGCAGAGGGCATAGCAAATGGGGTTGATGGTGCTGTTGACATAGCACAACCAGTAACCCAAGTGCCACAGGGTGACTGGGACACACTTGTCACAGAAGGTGGAAACCAGGACCATGATGTTATAAGGGGTCCAGGTGATGATGAAGGCCAGGAGAATGGCACTCAAGGTCTGGGCTGCCTTCCTCTCCTTGACGAGGACCATTCTCTTTCGTTTGGTCATTTGATGGCTGAGGTTGGGATCCAGGCCTTTCGTCGAAGGGTCCTTGGACACTGGGAAGGAGCAGGGCATGATTTTCACCTTGCGACAGCCGTTGTTGGTCTCCTGGGTCCCATCAGCTTTCACCACCAGTCGAAACTTATAGGCCACACATTTCTGACTCTTGGGTCTATGAGCAGCACCTGGGGACAAGAAGTATTTTTGGGTGTCACAGTCATTTTTTTCAGCTTGAGCTTTCACAAACGTGTCCTTGGTCTCTTTGGCACTGAATTCTTCCCTCGGGCTTTCCTTGGCCTGACTCTTGTAGACTACTTGGAAGACAGGGTCCGTGGCGGGCTTGTCCTCATCCTCCGAGGAAGGGTAGCTGTTACAGGTGGTGAGCTGCTCGGCTTGGGCCCACTCGGTGCTTGGGCCAGTGGCTTGGGATGGCTTCCCAGGGGTGGAGGTGCTCCTGCGGGAGGATGACCAGGAGGCTTGGTTCCTTTCCCTCTGGGCCAGTGTGGGTCGAGGGCAGCTAAAGCAGGACGTCAGCAGAGCCTTATGAGCCGGCTTTCTTGGCTCCGCTTCGGCCATGGAGTCAGAGCCCTGGAGGTCAGCCAGGTCCTTGGTCCGCTTCTCCGTTTCCCGGTAGATCCGGCAGTAGAGGATCGTCATGACAGAAACAGGGATGTAGAAGGCAGCGATGGCAGTGCCGAAAGTGATGGTGGGCTCGGACAGAAACTGGATCTGGCACTCATCTGGTGGTACCGTCCGCTCCCCAACCAGGTACTGCCAGCAGAGGATCGCTGGGGCCCAAAGGATGAAGGAGATCAGCCAGGCCAAGCCAATCATGATGCCAGCCCTTTTTGGGGTACGCTTGGCCCGATAGGTCAGAGGTCTTGTGATAGAAAAGTAACGGTCAAAACTGATCACCAGAAGGTTCATGACGGAAGCGTTGCTAGCCACGTAGTCCAGGGCGAGCCAGAGGTCACAAGCCAGACTCCCGAGCACCCAGCGTCCCATGAGGATGTAGGTAGTGTAGAGGTTCATGGAGAAGATCCCAATGATGAGATCTGCACAGGCTAAGCTGAGCAGGTAATAGTTGTTAACGGTCTTCAGCTGACTATTGACTTTGAAGGAGAGCATGACTAAGACGTTGCCCACGATGGTGATCAGGCTTACCACAGCGGTCACAGCCGCGATGGTGATGACTTCCCACAGCCCATGGCGTTCCAAAGGCTGGTGACTTACTGGGGTGCCATTGACAGTGGTCGTATTGTGGTAAGATTCGCCTTCCATCCTTAATTAGGGTTAAGTCTTGGGTTCTAGACCATATCTTTTCTATCTCACCTCTTCTTGGTCAGCATCTGAAAGAGAAGGAGATATATTAGCTCCACTCACCAGCACGGATCTTTTTTTCCACTCATGGTTTATCACTTACAGCAGGATAGTAAATGTGGTCACACACATATTCAGAGCGAGATGCTGGAATCTCTCAAAGTTTTGATGACAGTTTGTAGCCTCATCATCCCTTTGCTTTTTAGACGGACCAGTGCCTGAGAGCCTTTCTTGTTCTTGAGGCTGCTGCTCTCTTGTGGTTCCAACGGGCAATTAAAAGAAGAGGTGAGCGGGCGCCTGGGTGGCTCAGTTGGTTAAGCGACTGCCTTCGGCTCAGGTCATGATCCTGGAGTCCCGGGATCGAGTCCCGCATC